ATGTACACGTGAATTTATGCGAGTGAATCGTGGACGTGGATGCCCATTTGGCGAGCGCTGCTAATTAGAAAATCGTCGTCGAATAGAAATTGAACGCATAGCCTGAGGTTCGTGGCCGCGTTGACGCAACCCGGGGCGTGCCTAAAATTCTCTATGTAACACCATGTGACACAGATACGAGATCAGCTTTTTCGAAAGTCGACCGCCGTGATACCGCGTTGAGTCACATTCCCGCGGATTACGTTCTTCGTAATTACTTTTACCTTCCAATTCCTCCGATCGCGTACTTTCTTTCGCGAATTTCCAAGTCCTTCCCTTTCGATACGCGAAAGGGGAAATATTCTTTTGTCGAATTTGAGTATATACGAGGACGATCGTCCATATTTCCTTTAGATACGACCACGCTTCTGTCACTGCGAAGCGAGGTTCTCTAGCAAAGGATATATACGCGTTCTTATCCAATAGGAGTTGGAAGAAGCTGCGTGGACCGTTGTCGTAAAAAAATTGTTACGAAAAAGGCACCGACAGAGGAGACAGTTCTATAGAACTCGATGTACCTTATCAGATTCCATCGGGTTGCACAGCCTGACGAGGTCCGTGACATGCTGCATGCCCCGCGAACCTTACGACGTAACCTCTTTCCTTTATTTCTTCCTCTCTCCGTGACCCTTTTCTTGCCCCGTTCACTTTTCTACATTTCATCTCGCCTGATTCATTTTTCCCGATTTACCGAGACGTTTAAAACACCGGATTAAAATCTACCTCGAACTACTCTGATCATTAAAAAGATACGAAAATTTGCACCAAGATGCGACGTCGCGACGAGGAAATACTTTCCTCTCCGCTGGACTTCATTCTCCTCTGTATATTATTCCAAGGGACGTGTACGATTTGCATGGTAAGAACGTGTCGGAACACGGAAACTGCACGGAGGCGTCCGTTTTAGAACGTCGTGTTGACGCGTCCGATCATCGCGTCAGCGTCGTAAATCGCCAACGATCGCGCACTATACGTACGTACACAACGGTTACTCCAGATTTCGCGTGCTCGCTTTTCCTTATGCACGCTTGTAACCCTGTGTAACATTCGCTTTCGAGAAACTTCTAAATATAGTCACCGGTATGTACAAACGTGTTCCACATATGTAATAGCAAGTAGTGGCACCCATCTGTGTACAAGAGTGTGTGCGCGCGTGAGAGCGCGTAGAAGGCGCATTGGCGGCGAAGAGAGAGAGACGACGGCGAATTGTAACGCGCTCGAAGAATACCCGAGGCGCTCTCCTGGTTCGGGTCGCCTCCAAGGAAATAGCAATAAAAACGTGCAACCAGCTACATTGACTTTCTCTTGCGACCTTCGTGCCATTATGTCGGCTCCGCTTGCGGATTTCGAAAACGCCTTTCCTCCGAACTTTTCACCGAGAGAGGGAGTCTCGTAGACGAAGAAATTCTAACGTAGGATCACGGTTCGCCCGAGACCTTCCAATTTTCCACGATCTCTATCCGTATGAAGTATCGTTTATCCCGACGTTTCGAATGGTCTTATCGGATGCTTTCCCCGGGGCGAATATCGGGGGAAATTGGGCTACGTCGGTAAAACGAAGCCGCTCAACGTGGAAACACGAGGACGCGTAACTCTGACGGTATCGCGCGAGCACGTACGACGGCCGCGCGATTATCCAACGACAAAGCACGCGTTAGGCGGAATATTTATTTAGCCGAGGCACACGATAAGGGCGGGAAATTTATCCGGGACAAGCGGAAATACGCGCGTTGAATACCCGCGCGGCGAACAGTTTTACCGCGAGGGGAGACACGTTTCCGCGTTTCGTTGTTTGCGGACGCAGACACCTGTCGTTCGTTCAACTTCGAGATCGCTACTCCTCGCCGGATTTGCCGTGCGATATTGGTAATAAAAATTCTGGCAGCGTTTCTTTCACTGGTAGATCGAATTGCGGGGAGCTTTGTTAATATGCTCGAGGATTTGAGGGTCAACCGTGCCGTTCACCTGAATTGATTAACGCTGGAACGAGCGGAGCTGCAGCGTTGTTCTTCGAGTGAGAAGTTGATCGTCTTTAAATGCCCGAAATTAGAGTGATTAATGAAAAATATGTTGTTCTTGTTTCGACAGAAGTGTGATTTAAAGTAGGAAATCTGAAGAAATTTATGGGTTTGGTTGATCCAGTGTTAAGTAGGTAATGAAGACACAAAGACACATCGTTGAAATTTGAACAAAACCAAAAACTTTGTTCCCTTATAAAGGAAAAATCATATTATTGTATCTCTTCCTCGAGAAGAAATCGGTAACACAGAGAGAGAGAGAGACTTGTTTTTACAGGCTCTCACGTTGAACGTGAAAACGCATTAAAAGAACGATTAACCTGTTGCCGCCGGAATAAAACGCAGGATTCATTAAGGAGGCGTTAAAGAGCGAACTGTTCTTCACGGTGCCTGCCACCATAGCCGCAGCCACCATATCGACGATTGTTCACGACGCCATAAATCCGTTTCTTCGGCCTTTTAAATATCGCCAACTGTTTACGACCACCGCCTTCGATATACACACGGCGAACCGGCGAAAGAACATCTGTATTTAACCAGAAAAAAGAAATGTACTTTACATGTCAGAGGTGCAAAACTCGTAGTCGACCAACGTAAGATTCACGCACATGTGCCCGATAAGTCTTCCACGGCGAATTTACTATCCATGCTTTTCTCGAACCATCGCGAGTCATATACAACGAAGAGATTACGATTCCGTACAGAGAAGGAGAAGAAGAAGAGAGAGAGCGGCTGATTCGATTTCGTCGAAGAGATAGGCTACGGTAAGCGATAATTCTTTGCTAATTAAGGACATGTAACGGCGGTGAATAAATGAACGTGGGTAGCGGTAAATGAGACCAGGAATCCTCGTAATAAGACGTCACGCATACGATTTAATTGAGCCACGTGTCTTCCAGTGCACCACGCTTCAAAATTTGTACGAATTAGCTCGGAGCTAATTAAAGTACCTCGTCGTAACCGAGTGGTCTGTCATGGACGTCACGTTCCAAGATTTGCTACTTCTCCCACTCTCTCTCTCTCTCTCTCTATCTCTATCTCTCAGCTTGTGTAAAATCCAAAATAGAATTCTTTAACAGTAATTCGACGGTAAACCGAACACGAGTTACAGTTTCGCAAATTGTACCAATTATCGCGATGAAACCAGCTCGTAAATCGAACGACACGTTAATCCGTTGATTAATTGATTTGGCGTTAACACACAGGCACGAGAGAGACAAAATACGTCAGAAAACGTCAGATGGAAAGTAGGATCGATTTCACGAGTGGAAAAAAAAATCCGAACGAACAATGCTATACGAGCGGCATATAAACGTCTCGATAAGGGAACGGATGTCTTCATACCTGGCGCCCAAAATGAAAATCTCTTGTCAAGATTTTAATCTGTTTAATTAGCACCGTGTGTTAAGAAAGTTGGATGTTTTGCCCGATGCGCAGTCTCTTTTTTCACAAGCTCTCTCGGTTACGTTCGGCGAAATTACCGATCGGAATTGTGACAATTCGCCCCGCGGAAAATTAATTTCTTAGCCGCCTCTGTTTTTCGCGTGCGCTTAATACCACCGTGCCACCTCGTTAATTATCGCTCGAAGGGGGAGCGAGAGTCACGGTACGCATTCATTACCGTGTCGAAATCCAGCCTGGAGGGACGCAACACAATTTTAACCTTCTCCTGGTACCTTTTCCCCCTTTTTTACGCGACGTTTGAACACATTTGGAATACACGTTGCTCGGTGAAATTGCGAAAAATTTTCGCGCTAACGTCTGAAGACCGGCGAAAATGATCTAATGATCTAATTTTATTCCATTCTCTACGCCGCGTTTCAACGTCCATCGCGAAACATGCACCGTCTGTGCTCCCTCTTCGACCTATTATTAATACCGCTCTATTTTAATAATACGTGAAAAACGAGCGAGGTCGCTCTCGAGGTAGGACTCTAAATATTTCTTCACCGCGTTGTAATTACGTAACGAGAAGATTGTCGGTGTCTATGAAGACTTACGCTAAAGGATTCCGCTCTTTTATACCAAGCCTCTGTGTACCTACACGTTTCACCGGAGAGGAGAAGAAAAGATCGGACGCGTTGAGTCACCATCGTTGATTAATAACACCGCGTAGCAAACGATCGTTTTCCTACGACAAGCCCGTGGGAACGTCGATTCAAGATAGAATTACGAGCATGGGATTCTTCGGTATGAAAAAGATACGTATCGCGTGTGTATATGGTAGCTTTCGATGAATGGATTGGATACGCTTTGATGCGTTTCAATCGTCGTTCATCGGGGAGAAAGGAGAAAAATGATGGACACGATAAAGGCGTGTTCAATGATGGAATATAACAAGCGGAAGAAGAAGAAGCAGATCGTGAAAAACGTAGTTTTCAGAAGAGGAAGAAAAGAGAAATAAACGGCGAGGAAAGATTCTCCCTCGCTCTCGATCGCGGATGATTCGTCGTGGAAGTATGGTTTCCTCGTTTGTAAAAAGGAGCGGGCCGATGACGCGCGCTGCTCCATCACGCGATAACACAATAGTTGGAAGTGTATCACACCATGGGAGATTGATGGTGTTTATTGCAACCCCGTCGCGCTTACTAGTTTCATCCATTACCTTCCCTATATCTTCCGTCCGCAACCTCGTGCTTTTACTGGCCTGCGAAATAGAAGCTAGTGCACCGGATTGCTGGTGCACGGAGAAGAGATTGATTTCGCCGGTGTTGAATATTGGGCTTTTCCAGAGGGAAACGTATCGCGGTTTCCGATACGAGGAGAGAAAAGAAAAGGGGGAACAAACGTGCACCTTGACAATTTCTTGCGTGAGTGACGTTTACACACACACGCACACTTTTTCACGTGCTTCGATTTGAAGAACAGGGAGAAAGGATGAAATACACGGTGAATTTAATACGATTAATTTGAATTTGAATTGACAAGGTTCCGCGACTGGGCATGCTACTGGCAAACGTGGAGAGGGCCTATCTGTTACTAACGGCGATCCACGTTCTACTCGATAAGGGCGCCGACGGTGAGACGTTCACCCTCGGCTACATCACCGGCTCGAAGAGACGTCCAGGGGACTTGGAGTATCAGCGCCCTGGTTACCGGATATCCGGCGCCATATCGCTCGCCGTGGAAGAGGTAATCGAACCGCTTATTATCCCCGAATTACTCCGCTCGACCACAATTAGCACGGAAGTAACTAATTAAGGACAACGAGATTTAGGAATTTCCGGCTATCGCCGGTGTTATTCTTGGCAAAAGCCTCGCCGACTAATCTCTCCTGTTCCTTCTTCAATTCCGAGTGTAACGATGTAAATGACTTTTTGAAAAATTGAAATTTTCGTTGGTAAATGAATTCCTCGAGAAGAATGTAGCGTTGGACGGATTGGTAGGTGAACGCAGGTGAGCTGGGTCGACGAGGGCACAAGCTCGATTTCCTGGTCGCAGAGACTTATGGCGAGGAGGAGACCAGCATCCTGATGACCGCCGATCTCTGGACGAAGAACATCAGCGCGTACATCGGTCCCCAGGAAACCTGCATCCACGAGGGAAGAATGGCTGCCGCGTTCAACCTCCCAATGATATCTTACGTGAGCACACCTTTTCCTCTATTTTCCTAGCCTTGACAGAGAGCCTCGGAGAACGCATTTATGTACATGACTCAACGTGCAATATTTTTCATTCTACCCGTTAAACCGTACTTCCATCGTTTGATTCCACATTGTTTCTCTTTCTGGCAAAATTCCAACGAAAATTCCTGGCAAAATTCCTCTATACTTGACGGAATGGAGAAAAGAAGAAGAAAATCTTCCGTCCTCCCTGTCTCTGTTCGTCTGAGAAAAATGCATCCTTCTTTTTGCACTCCTTAGTACGAAAGGCTTTCTCCGGTTACGTAAGAAAAGTACTCGCGATACGAAACACCCCGGAAAAAGCACCCTTTAGCACGAAGGCTCCCGTCGTCTTCTAAACGGAACGCGTTGCCGCCCTCCCGAAAACCACTTTCGTCGAGTGAAACAAGTCGCCGTGAGGCGTATGTGTGCATGCTTTCAGCTGGACGCTACTCTTTTATTGCGGTTCGGGCGCATATCGATGGGATCGGACGAATTCGTACGAGAACTTTCAACGTAGTTTCGACTTCCATTAAGTCACACGCTCGATCGACAATATTTCTCCGCGGTATCGTAAATTACTCGGCGAAGATACGATCGTACAGGTATGTAAAGTACGTAGCACGCGACGAAAACAAACGTTACGAATGGTTCCGAGTGAGAGACACGGTCGAAAGTGTATTTCGTGTGTCATACCGGGTTTCTGTTCCATTTAAATCGAGCGGCTCTGTAATGGCAGAAGAGAGGAGAAGAGAACGGTTCGCAAAGTGTTTCGTTCGATCGTTTTTTTCGCGTGTACCGACGTGATCTGACGGTGCAATGTGTGGTTTAAGCGCCCAGCCGGCGAGGAGATAAATTATTCGTCGACCACCAAGGAATACGAATATGGCCAGCTGAGGTTACCACACGTTTCGCCCATTCAATGCTACCAAAACCCGTCACCGTGGACCTTTTGTCTATTTAGGTCTCGACACGGCGATTTTCTTTCGAACGATGTCTTTTTAGGGATAGCGATCGAATTTTCAAACGATACGTTTCACTTAGAAGAACAAAATCCTACAAGATAGTTCGCACAAAGTGTAACAATCTACCTTCCTTTTTTTTTTTCAATAATTATCAAGTAGGTATACAGTTTCGTGATAAACGGAGAAACATTCGTTCACGTCAGCTGTTTCGCACGTGAAATATTAGACTCGAGGTTCGACGACACGGTATCGTGCACAATTTGAGAAATGAAATTTCATAGAGAAGAAGGATGAAACTACACTTCTACCGGCAATTCATTAAGCTTCTTTTTAATCCCGGCTTGCCGTCTTGGCCACGCCACCGTGAAAAGAACAAACCATTCCTTTTCCCGGCGAGTTATCCAGATCATTGAATGGTTCCCTTCTGCAGCAGCGTTGTCGAAAAATATAGCCGCGTCGTTTTCACGTGCCGTTTAACGCGAGCTACCGTTTTCGATGCGACTACCACGGAAATTAATCGACCTGTCGCTAAAACCTATCTACGATAATTTGTTCCAGCTGTCGAACGAAAGGAACTGCTCAATTTCCTCCGTACGGCTAAATTTCTCGTTTAAAACCGACCTGCCTCTGTAATACGTACGATTCCAACCGCGGTTATCGAATTTAATAGCCACGTGAATTAATTAATCTAGCCGACATATCGAACCGAGCTAATCTCGTTGAATACGTATGTATATATTTGCTCGATCTTTTGTTCGATTTTCCAACGCGTTATACACCACGAGTCCAGCTGACGCACTAATCACACGCATTACGTGTCCCTCGCTTTCCAGCCTAGTAATAGAACAACCTAGAAATCCAATGCAAATTTGAAACTAGCCGAGTGCACGTGGTGTTCGCCACGCTATTTATCTCGCCACCTGCTTGCCTGGCTTCACCTGAGAAATATCTCGCGAAGCGAGCTGCACCGCGAGAGAGAACGATCTCGCGTTACGAATAAACCTACGTTTCGTTTCCTTGCAGTTCTGCACGCATCGCGACTCCTCCGATAAGAAGGAGTTCCCTACGTTCGCGAGGACCAGGCCACCTGACACGCAGATCTCCAAGTCGGTGGTTTCCGTGTTGATGGCGTTCAATTGGACCAAAGTGAGTGGGAAAGGGTTAAATTTCAAAATTGTGGGAAAACGAGAATTTGTGAAAAAAAGAAAGTCACGAGAGGTATGAAAATTTGTAAAATAGGAGGAATGAAAGATTTGTAAAATTGTCCAGGTGACGTTCATGTATATGAACTCAACGCTGTTCGAGTTCAACAAAATGTCGACGATCGCGGAAACCATACTGTCGTCGTTCGAAGCGGCCGGCGTGACAGTGAACTTCCTTCGTTGCTGGGAAGAACCTTATCACGTCACTCACATGACCAATCCGTTCCACGAGCACGTCAGCGAGACGTATCGGGAAACAAGAAGTGAGCAACGAACGAATTTATACAGAGATTTAAATTTTCCATTGTAAAAAGTGTGTAAATAACTGGTTTTCTCCCCCCTAATTCGAGTATATTTCTCTAAACCCGCTTTCTCGATCGCGATAACGGTCTCGAAGCGCGCGCGCTCTTTTTCAAATCGCACACGCGATACGCGCCGCTCGAAATAGGTCACCCGCATTTTAATTCCGTGTAAAACATGAACGATAACCCGCATGTTTAAGAACGTAACAATTCCACGCGTTGAATAGATACCGGTGTTAATTTGGTAACGTCGCGGTCTATTTACTCGGGCGTTTGAAAAATAGTCAGGCTAGCCGCGACCTGTTTTTAGCGAATTAAGAAACTGCGAAAAGGAGACGATTCGAGAAATTGATCGTCGGAACGTGCCGCGGCTTTGTTCCAGTTTACGTGATTCTAGGGAATTACTATGAGCACATGGGGCTGCTGATGGCTCTGGACGAACGGAAGCTCTTGGAAAAAGGTATAAATCCGCTGTAACCTAATCAGGTACATATATAGAAGCAGTGTCGCTTAGTCGTAATCTAGCTTTATTAAAAAGGAAATAAAGAAACACGCACCTCCTTGCTACGATATAAACCTTGGGAAGAATTTAATAAGGAGAGAAAAATCATAGGTTAGAAGATAGAAGTATGCTTTCTATCTTAACGATCCTATCATAGATTTCTCAATTAAATTCTTGTCGAACATGGAGGAAAAAGTGTATGAAGGAAATTCGTGCCGCAGGCGAATACTGGGTGGTCGGTGTCGACATCGAGCAGTACGACGAGAAACGACCGGACAAGTACTTCCGCGGGTTATGGCAGAAGAAGACCAACTCGTCGATCCTGAAGGCGTATCGTAGCTACTTCAGCGTAGTCGCTACTGCTTCTATCTACTCGAAGAATTTCACTAGGATGGTGAACGCGTACAGACAGAAACCGCCCTTTAATTTCTCTAATCCACTGGCGAACGTCGGTGGAATTGTTCAGGTGACTATTATAATCACTTATTTCGACAAGGTTCGATCGTCGTTTTTCAGCTAAATTCCAAACTGTCCACTTCCAAACGTAATTACAATCACTTATTTCGCCAAAATTATGTCACATTTTATCATTTTCGGAGCTAAATTCAGCTTCGGTACTGTCGACTTTCAAACGTAATTACAATCACTTATCTTAACGAAATTATATCGTTTATTATTTATCATTTCACGAGCTAAATTCAGATTCGGTACTGTCCACTTCCAAACGTAATTACAATCACTTATTTCGGCAAAATTATGTCACTTTTTATCATTTCACGAGCTAAATTCAGCTTCGGTACTCTCGGCTTTCAAATATACACCACCGGCCAAAAATTTGGAATCACCTCCCACTTTTCATCAATATTAAATCCAATTTTTTATAGATTTGAAGTTTATCTCAATTCTACATTTATCAATTTATCTCATATCAATTTATTCGAATGATAAAAAATTCTCAAAGTCGCTGACTTTTTTCTGGAAAGTTTTGTGCAAATTGTAATGCTCGGTGATTCCAAACTTTCGGCCGGTAGTGTATTTGTACTCGCTTATTTCGGCAAAATTATATCATCAGCTAAATTCAGATTCAGTACTCTCGACTTTCAAACGCAACTACAATTTTCCACCAATTTACGAGCTAGATTCAGGTATGATCGATCACTTTCACCCTCGACTTTCAAACGTAATCGTCTGTTTCTGTTATAAGGCAGATCGTGCCGGAGACGGCGTACCTGTACGATGCGGTGCACCTCTACGAGAGATCGCTGCTGAAAGCTCTAGACGAGAATCGGGATCCACGGAACGGTCGAGAGATGGTGTCGACCCTGTACGGTGTTAATTATCGAAGCGCCATGGGGTACGTATAAAATCGAAACTATCCTCGCTTATCGTCCCGTTTTACGGTATGCAAATTAGTTTTGCTTGAAAGACTATCTCGAAGTAAACCGAATAGAGAAGACTGGGTATATACGTTACGCTAGTGTATTTTCGACCAAGTAATTATCGTTTGCACAGCGTAACCAGGTCGAAGAAGTCGGAAGTGATCCGTCATTCTTTGCATCTTCGCGTGAAGATGAACGATGATTATGCGAACATGTGGCTCTTACTTGGAGGGTGAAATTGGAAAATTCTACGCAAGTGTTTCTCTCTTCTTTCGAAACCTGGAAGAAGAATTTATTCGTTGCTCTCTCTCTCTCTGTGAGAAAAGCTTAGAAATTCTTCGTTCTGATTAAAAAATTCCAAAGTTTAGTAATGTCGATACTTGGTGTAGTAACACGTTGCGCAATTCGAGAGGAGGAAAAACGCGAAAGCACCTGAATCATCCTGGAAATATTTATCTCGACAGTGTACACGACAGTTTAAAGTACGCGGAATAACGCCAATAAAGCAGAACCCAGCGATTATTACGATGACGCAAGCGTCTAGAATGATAATTGACCCTACGAAATAATTAAGGCTTCCTCGCTGCTCTCGCGATTCTCCTTTCGCATCTCTACGTGTAATCTTTTCCCCTCCATCCTTCTCCCTCCTTCTTCAGAATGATCGATACTCTTCTCAATGCCACGAGAGGTGAATTAGTTGCATAATATTCACGGTTAAGCGAATCACGCGGGGAAGAAAAAGAGAGAAGAAATTTCGGAGGAGAATAACTCCTCGTATCGCGTTCCTTTGCGCAATTTACGAGGACTTTTAACGCGCGTTAAAGCTCGCGGTTACGAGGCACATATCGTTGCATGATATATCGACTGATCCAGGTACATGGTCTACATGGACGAAAACGGCGACGCTGAAGGCAATTACACTCTGATTGCGTTGGACAATCGGCCGACAAAGGGACACGGTCTATACCCCATAGCGTACTTTGTGGGAAAGGAGAACGGCACGAACTTGCCAGTAAGACATTAACTACTTTTTTCAACCACCCTTTTTACCAGCTACAACCATTCCTCCACTTTCTCTCTCTCTCTCTCTCTCTTTTTGTAGAAACTTCGATTGACCAGGGACATTTCGTGGATCGGCGATGGACCGCCGATCGCGGAGCCACACTGCGGGTACCATGGCGAGAAATGCACCTGTACGTACGAAAATTCGATTCTTCTTTTTAATATTCGACGGATTCGATCGTCGAAGGACAATAATATTCTTCTAACAAAGTGACGAATAAAATATTGTGCGAAAGAGTGCATTCTCTGGAATTTTACTTTACTGTATCAGCAGCGAAGGAAGAAAATTCGACGGGTGAAACTTATTGAATACATCGAGAAGATGTACGACGCGAAAAGATTTCTATTTCGCTGTATTAGCAGAAGAGAAAGAAAATTCTATTTTTACATATTCGTTCAACGTCTCGAGAAGATAATAATCAACTCGCTCCGGCAAGCAAAGTGGAGAATAAAAGATGATGCGAGAGGATCCTCAATTCCGATCCGACAAATCAATTCCCTCGGATCTCGTCCTTCGCTATGTACATATATTAGAAGGAGAGACGCGAAAGAAAGTAAAGGCCAGGGTCACGACGTAGAACATAATGTTCCCCCTACGTTCGAATTGATATTCGTGAAGATACAGAGAAGGGACTTGCTTCGGTTCTCCTTCGAATTACCATTCGTCAGCTTTCTCCCGCGAACCGATCTGCTCGAAAAATATATCATAAAGTTTGCCGGGTCCGACCTTAAAATTTACATATGTAAATCCGTTAAAGGGGAACGCCTTCCGCCCTTCTCGCTTTTTCCTTTCTTTTAATTGAGATCGAATGCACACCGTGTATCCCGTGCACGTAACCACGCAACGATTAACGATTATGCAACCCGTGTATATATACATATGACCGATTTAAACGCGAAACGGTTGAACACGAGGGAGTGAGGGTACAATTAAAATTGGAATCGAACCGAAACAAGCATCTTTGACCTGAATAATGTAACAAATAACAGTGCACCTACTCGAGAAAAACCGATCGAATCGATCGATCGATCTTCTCTCGGATGAAGAAAAAGAGATGTACAGACAGAGTTTCAATTTAATGCGTCCAGCTCACACGGGAGAGATCGTGGGAGGTATAGCCGGTGGATTTCTGTTGATCATCATGGCCGTGATCCTGGTGCTGTACAGGAACTGGAAGTACGAACAGGAACTGGATTCCTTGCTGTGGAAGGTGAACTACAAAGATATTCAGATCAAAGAACAGAAGGACGAGTCGGCGGGAGTGAACGAGGCGTCTACCAAATGCAATCCCAAGGTAAATGCCTACGTTTTCGACGTCCTCCCTTCGTTCTACCCTTATTCCCCGTCGTTCTCCTTCGACCCAATTGATCCCGAGATTTTTCGAGGATCTGGCTATCAAATCCTCAACGACACTCGCCGGATTTTCGTAGAATGGAAAGAATTTAACGAGAACGCACTCTCTTATCGAGAGGAATAACCGTTCGATCAATCCTCCAAAGTACCTTAAGATAACTTTCTTCCATTTTCATTCCTGCCAGGTTCGTCCAATCTTTTTCTAACGCGTTTCACGCGAAAATCTTCATTTTTTTATCGCACAGACGACGACGCAGCCAATAGTGAGAACGAGTCAGGTGTCTTTGAGCTCGAATCCAGACGCGGATTTCCGCTACTCGATGATCTACACTCAGGTAGGCGTGTACAAGGGACGGATATTCGCCGTGAAGAAAGTTCGTAAGAAATCGATCGAGATCACCCGTGAAATGAAGAAGGAGCTGAAAGTGGTGAGTATGGAAATACGGTGGAAAAATTCGAGGCCTCGATTGGTTACCAATTAAAAGATCGTTTCTGTAGATGCGCGACTTGCGACACGATAATTTGAACGCTTTCATCGGTGCGTGCACCGATCCGCCAAATATATGCATCGTCGTGGAGTATTGTGCGCGTGGAAGTCTCAAGGTAATGATCGAATTGGGACGGTTTGTAATTAAAGTGAACGAAAGTCGAAACGAAGGTACACCGAGATTCCCCTCCCCCGTCTGTAATTTTCTCCGGTGATCGTTTTCTTTTACGCAGGACATCTTGGAGAACGAGGACATGAAGCTGGATAACATGTTCATGGCGTCTCTGGTCGGAGATATAATCAGGGTAACGTTATTGTTTCGCCACTTGTAACCATTTTTTCTCCATTAAAATCGAAACTTGTAAGAATTTCTTTTTTCTTTTCTTTCGTTAAAATCACCGGAGAATACTTTCGATCCTGCGAATAATTTTTCCATCGAAGAAAGAAACTTTGAATAAAAAACAAATGTTTCATCTGACGAGGAGGTTGAACGAGATTTCGGTATTAAAATTCATCGAATCGTGAAAGCTTTTTCTTCTTCTTCGAGGGAGAGAGAGAGGGAAGGAAAAGTCGTTTGGAAACTATCGAACGTAACGCAGCTTCCAGACAAGTGGAATTGATCCCTTAATCGAATCCCAAGTCGACGAGTATTGACGAGGGCTAGTTTCACTGAACTGTCGGGTTTTCAGGGTATGATCTATCTGCACGAGTCGGTCATAAAATATCATGGCTCGCTGAGTACGTCGAACTGCCTGGTGGACTCGCGATGGGTCGTTAAATTGGCGGACTTTGGCTTGCACGAATTCAAAAAGGACGCGGAATGTGAGCCCTGCGACGTCATGAAGAAGTATCACGGTATTTTATCGGACAGTCGTTTGCAACTTCTCCTTTTTACCCTATTTCTGCGTTTGTCTAACTCTGTTGTGTCTTTGGATCTCTCCTGTGTGCCTTTCGCGACGCTTGATAAATTTAACAAAGATCTATCTTCGTCCACGAGATCAACCCTCTCGCTGCGACAGATTTTATAATTCCACGATCGTTTAAAAATCGACTTTATCGAGTTTACGTGGAAGAGTGCGCCAAGAAGCGCCAATAACACAATGCGAAGAAATTTTGAAAATGCCAATAGCAGTGAAACACCTTCGAATCTCTTCTGATAAATTTAACAAATATTCCCAGAGATCAGTCTTCTGAAATTTAACCAATCTTCGTTCGCAAGCATAAAATAGAAATGAACATGGAACAGGTCTGCTGTACCGAGCTCCAGAACTACTGAGATCGACGAAAAGTCAAGATCCAACGGTGAGAGACTATCAAAGAGCAGACGTCTACTCGTTCGGGATAGTTTTATACGAGCTGCAAGGACGACACGGTCCTTTCGGGATCACGGAACACTCCAACTCGGAGATATTGAAGAAAATAATCACGAAGGAGCAGGGAACCGAGTGTTTCAGGTATTACGATTGAAATTGCGGTCTGTCTAGTGCAGAAGATACTTAAATTTTACGTGCTTTTGTTTCCACCCTGTCAGCTACTCTGTTTTCCTTGAATTATCTCAGACCACCGTTGGACCAGTTGGAGAACTGTTTCCATTTCGTGAGGGAATGTCTGATAGAGTGCTGGGCGGAGGATCCTGAGATTCGACCAGACTTCAAGATCGTCAGGAACAAGCTGAGGCCGCTGAGAAAGGGCATGTAAGTCTGGCGGTATAAAATAACGAATAAAAAGCGAAAATTCAATTGGAAAATTCGTGTACACAGGAAACCAAACATATTCGACAACATGATGGCAATGATGGAGAAGTACGCGAATAACTTGGAAGCATTGGTGGACGAGAGAACGGACCAATTAACGGAGGAGAAGAAGAAAACAGGTTACTCGACGTTTCGAAACTGTCGTAAATTAATTAATCGATTAATTACACTGATCTTACTTCGCAGATGCTCTGTTGTACGAAATGTTGCCGCGTTACGTGGCCGAACAGCTGAAAAGAGGACACAAAGTCGAAGCTGAGAGCTTCGACTGCGTGACCATTTATTTCAGCGACATAGTTGGCTTCACGGCGATGTCTGCTGAGAGTACACCTTTACAGGTGAGACGCTTCGACGACAGAACGAATTTTCGAAAATTTGTAACAGGTATTGTTTGAATTGTTGGAAATTGTCGAATTTCAGGTGGTGGATTTTCTCAACGATCTGTACACCTGTTTCGACTCGACGATAGAAAATTACGACGTGTACAAAGTGGAGACGATCGGCGACGCTTACATGGTGGTGAGTATCCAAAGAGTTGACGCGAGACAATCGTGATACGGGATCATGAATCATTCCACTCTCGACAGGTAAGCGGTTTACCAATTCGAAACGGTATTCAGCACGCGGGAGAAATTGCCAGCATGTCCTTGTGCCTCCTAGACGCCATTAAACAATTTACCATTCGACATAGGCCGCTCGAAAAGTTGCAACTACGAATCGGTATACACTCGGGTAAGTTGGAGAGAGAAAACGTTCGTAGGATCTTAGGTGTTCCCTTCGTTATCACCGACACACTTTTACCTCTCACTTAGGTCCAGTGTGCGCCGGTGTCGTAGGCCTAAAAATGCCTCGTTACTGTCTCTTTGGGGATACCGTGAACACTGCTAGTCGTATGGAGTCTACGGGATCTCGTAAGTAATCGTGTGACAATTTCACCAAGTAAAGAAGATTCACTCGTTACACTGACACACCTGAAGGCTGCAAAAATGAATCCACTCAAAGTCTATCCTTGATAATTTCAGTGAATAAAAAGAATTCGCTCTCCAAACTGAGACACCTGAGCACTAAAGAAACTCTTCTCACATGATAAATAAATCCTTAATAATTTAAGTAAATAAAAGAAATTTATTCTCCAAACTGACACCTGAAGACTAAAAAAACGGATCCTCACGCAGACTACTATTCTCTTACAATTCAATTTCTCGCGTGACAAATAAATCCTTCCAATTCCAGCTCTAAAAATCCACTGCAGCAAAGAGACGAAGGCTCTCCTAGACCAGCTAGGCGGATTCAGCGTGATAGAGAGAGGCCTAGTTTCCATGAAAGGCAAAGGCGAGCGTCTAACCTACTGGTTGATCGGCGAGGACTGTGTCCTGCGCGAAGAACGTACCAGAGAACGTGAAAACCGTCGAAGCGGTTGTGCAAAGAAGAACAGCACTACGAATCCTCTAATCCCGCGAAGTTCCCTCAAGAACAAATCCCTAGTTCGATCCACCTTCATGAGGTGTTCCAGCGAATCGCCGAAACGGTTGCGTTTCGCCAGTTCCGATCAGTTGGATCAAAAGTGTTCACGCGTGAACAGCCAGTTAGAATCGATCGTCGACAACAGTCCGTGCAAGCCGAAGATGTCCTCCGCGAGCAGGCCGTCCTGCATCGACACGTGGAGATCCTCGAGCAATTCTTGCCCGTGCGTGGAGAAACTGTGCGAGCAAGAGGCTGAAATGGACGCGAAAGATCTGACGCGACAACGGTTGCAGCCTGTCGGGGGCAACGCGTTGCTTCGTGCAAACTGGACGATCGGGAACGAGCCGTACTTCCCGCGAGGAGGAGCCAAGAACTTCCGGCTTGGGATCACGCAGACGACCTGCAGATCCGCGCCCAGCAGCCCGAGGCACAGCACGTTGATCTTAAATTGTCAGAGGCGAGCAGCGCAGTCGAGCGAAGAGATAGACGGATGGGACGCTACAACGCCACTGATTTATTATCCGGGAGGACGATTGGATTAAGGAGAACGCCTATCCCTGAGTTACGAGATCATGGCGGACCTCTTCTTCTTCTTCTCCTATTGAGTTCCCTCTCTCGTACATAGTTTCCAGAATTCTATCGAAGGAATCTTCGTTTCTTTGGAAGATCTCGAGGTGGTTATCTCGAAGTTGTGGTCACAGTTTGGAGAATTCTATCGAAGAAATTTTCGATCCTCCGGAAAATCTCGAGCTGACTATCTCGAAGTCGTCGTGCACAGTCTGAAGAGTTCTATGGAAGAAATCTTCGATCCTTTGAAAAATCTCGAGATGACTATCTCGAAGTTGTCGTACACAGTTTGGAGAATTCTATCGAAGAAATCTTCGACTCTTTGGAGAATCTCGAAGGTTTGTTTTCAGTAACACCGAGGAAGTTGAAGTGTTACGAACGTACGATTTAGGAATTCGGCGAAAGATCCAGTGTGACAGCACAGTGTGTGAGCAAAAGTTTCGATTGGTGAATTGATTGTGTCTGTAAAATCAGAGTTGTGCGACGGTTCGATAATTGCGGAAATCTCGAGGGATACCGACGAGGTAGGAAACGAATTGATTGGAATTTTTATGGATATACACATATACATACATATATAGACGTAGGATAAATCTGGGTCAAGTTTGGAATGTTTTTCTCGAATCGGTAACGAGAGGAAAATCGCGCGCCGGTTTTATTTTTAAACCGATCGCGATCGACAATCATGGTTCCGTTTCCCCTATCTAATCGATATTTTATCGACGAACGATTATACCAATCACGGTGTGTGTCGGTCGATTAAAAGACGGAACGAAACGAGCGTTTACGAACGATGATTTCTTTGTTTTCTTTTTCTCTGGGAGCCGCATCGGTACACGATCAGTAGTACACCAAAGCACACCATACGTACAAAACGAGATACCTAACAGATGTATTTATACATTATTTATAGCATATGTAACCCCGTACACGGAAAAGCAGCGCGCCGTAACGGTATAATTCCACGCATTAGCTTAGACAATCAATAAGGCTCGTGCTTTTTATTCTACATAAGTGTTCTCTAGTCAATTTTTCATTTTTAACTATTACGCCACCACCTGTTTTCTGTTTCATCGAACGCGACGACGAATCAGAGCAAACTTATTCGACGAAAAAACGACACCGTCGAATCGGAAAATCATCCCGATGGATATTAGTATTAACAATATTTACTGCCGGCACGTAGTACTTAAGGCAATTATTTATAGAGTAATATATTAGGAACGATTGGAAGCTTGAAAGAAAGTACATACGAATCGTCGTAGAATTTTTTTCGATAATGTGTATCTAATTAAGGAACCGATCTATCGTAAGCGCGATACGGAAACATGTGTAAGTTTATTATCCTACTTGAAATAAAGAAAGCATTAACGGTGCACGGTTGTTATATCTGTCTGACAAATCGATTTCACGCCAAACGGCGATATTGTCAATTTTCGCTGTGCGATTTTTCATATACTTTTTTCATTTCTCTTTCCCAATGGAAAATAGATATCGAGCAAGAACAAAGGTCCAAGAATTCTCTTTGTTGCACGCAAGTGCAATGGCTCTTCGGGCACGCACGAGCACGATGCGTGATGGAAAAGGCGGCGATAACGCACCGAGGTCCATTAAATTATTAGCACCGAGGAAATTAATTGAACACGAGCGGAGAAACGCGAGGCTTTGATTGCACGCGTTCCGCTATCTGAAAAATGGGGAAAAACTCGATCAAAGTCGATCACGGGCGAATAACCCGCGTTGATTATAAAATTACAGACGCACATTTACGCTCGTTGGGGGAAATACATTAGGTGTCTACTGTAAGAATCTATTCCATTCGAACAAGTTCAAGCTCAAGATAGAGAAAGAATCTAATTCAAATAAAATATGCTAAACAAATTGCACGCCTGATTGCCAAGGTCCGAAAACGTTCGTCCAGTTGCAGTATTTCAGGGATAGGCGAACGAATTTCTTCTTCTTTTTTTTTTTATAAAGAGATAAAATGATTTTTACAGTTAACGCGTGCGTTTAGAAAGTCGATTGGAATCGCGGAGAGAAAAAAAAAATGGTGGCAACGTTTGAATATGCATACCGACGACGTTCCATTCCTTTTTAATAATCTAATAGGTACTGTTACGTTTATTTATATCGGCAGGCCTGGAATGGAACCGGCGTGGCTACCCGATCACGAAAACTATAACGAAAGCCGTTAGTGGCCCGACAGCTAACTAAACTCTTCATTACTTTAATTTGCACGTCTCGTTACGTGCGTCTTCGTGGGCGCACGTGATCGCGGGTGTACGCCGCGGTTCGCTCCGTGCTTAAGCGCGAAACAGTCGTGCAAATACGAGAGTGACTTCTGAATTTATTGCGCAATTTACTATTCGGTGCCTTTCGCAAACTCGATAGAGCAAACGAGCTTAGATATCCAGGATGGAAGTTCTTCCTGAAAATTCGCCGTTAAACGGCCAACTTTCGGTTTCGTTTGTTCGCGAAACGAGGATCGGTCGAATTCATCATTCTTCGGTATATGAGATTACCAAAGAAAACCGGAGGAAATTATGGGAATACTAGCTTTCTGTTTCATTTGTGAATCGTTCAGATTTATCATTCTCCGTGCCGTTTATGAATCAGTGAGAATAAATTTCGCATACGAGGCTACCAAAGAAAAAAGGAAGGAAAATATGGGAATACTAACTTTCCGTTTCGTTCATGAATCAACGAGGATCGATCAAATTTCTCACTCTGTTATAACAAATTAGCGAAAAAAAAAGAAAAGAAACACGAAGAAGGAACGGCGAAGAACATCGCTGAAGAAGAATCGAACACCCTGTATAACGAGGCGACTCCTCTACACAGAATGGGGTACCATCTTATTTACGGTGAAGTGGTTGTCGGCCAACTTAGAGGAGCGGCCATCATTCAATCAAGCCGGACAATTTAAACAGCCTGATTCACGCAGCGAAATCATTTAATATTTGACGTCAAGCACGATTATCGTATAACGGGTGCGTAATGGCCGATTGTTTATACAGGTTGCAAGCGGCGCCGCAATTTTCAAATGGTTGTATCTGTCCTCCTGAGAACGAGATGTTGTTGAACGTTTGTCGGGACGGAGCAATGTTGCTAAAATGATCCGTCATTAGCGGCGGGGCACAAGTGACGGGAGTGCGATTACTCCTTCGACCATTTACCGCCTAAATGGTCGATACGAAGAAGAACTAAGACGAGGACGAAGAAGAAGACGAAGAAAAAAAGAAGAGAATTTCAACGACACTTCAACCCTTTAGCTCCATCTAAGTTTCATTAACGATTAAATTCATGCAAATCCCACACGTGTAATTCCGAATAACTCTTGCACTCTCGGTGTCGGCCGGATCCGGTTTAAATATTAAATCGCGCGTCGCCGACGCGGTATTATTTTGACTTCACACCCGAACGCGTTTCACCGGTCTTCTCTCTCTCTCTCTCTCTCTCTCTGTTTCTATGGCGAGCGTACTTTTATTAGGCTCTCCTTCTGCCAGCCGCGTTCGTATCTATTTATAGACACGGAATTATCTTCATCCGCCGTAGAACAATACCGCGGAGAGCGGTAAAAATTTTCGATAGGAGAATGCTAATCTACGCGGTTCATCGTCGTCTTCGCTCGACTTGCTCGTCGGTCTCGAATGAAAAGGAGCGGCTCGATTGCTAGCAATTAGACCATCGTGACGTGCACGCACGTTCGAACCGGCAACCGGAGTACGATAAACTGATTCCACGATTGATTGTCCTTCTTTCGATCGTCCACAGAGGCAACTATAGAATGATTAAAAAAAAACGTTTATTCTTGTTTTTTGGAATTTTTCTATTAGGTAAGTTAGCTCTCTCTCTCTCGCTGTGTTATGCGTTGCATCTTTCCATAACGCTCCAAGCGCACCTGCGGCACAAACGACCTGTTGTCCACCGCACACGCGGTTACTTTACATAAGATATGCGCGAGCTTAGACCGTGCTGAAAATAAACTCCGTCGCGATTCGACACGTTCGATCGTGACGCTACGCTCGCTGTCATTTAGCCTGATTTCCATCGGTGCTATTCGCGCGTGTCGAGCTTTGTCTAAACTCCTATGCCCCGCTTCGCGTGCCTTTTCCGCGACAAATCTCTCCCCAGTGAAAATTGCTACAAATGGAACTACACCGATAAATGTACCACTCGGAAACAATTTACACGCGAACAATTCCACGGCCATCCTACAAATCGCGAACTTAAAGAATGTCTTAACACTAGGTTTACGGACATTTCTTGTGTACTATTGGAAATGGGTTATGGAATTTACGGTCTCAGAGGAAACGTCTTTACTCTATTGAATCTTCTGAAGGACTGTTTCTGGACACCCAAAAGAAAGTTGGGGTCCCCTTATACCTAGAAACTGTTTACACTATGGTATGGCATTGTGCAGTGAGTGACTCGAAGACGGACACCAGATGCATCTGGTGGAAGTCTTAGTGCCTTTGTTTAAAATAACCCGGAGACATTTTTGTCCTCACTTGATTATTTCCATAGGGTGTTGTTAGAAATAATCCAACATGTACCTATCTCTAATTGAACAAAGCCGCAGATTTCGAAACTGCGCGATGTTATACATTTCTATGAAGTTTACAACAAGCACAAACGGTAGGAGAGAAATGTAACCGGTCTCTGAAGTTGTCCTTGTGAAATTGGAAATGCGTGAGAATCACGCGTCCCGTGAACCTGGTGTGAAAAAAATCCAAATACCTTTCAATCATCCTGCAATTAACTACATGTAAGAACGATACTGGACAAGTCGAGTACAAACATCGAGGAGATTCTAGCTTCCGATAATCTGCTCGTAATTAAGTGCCCGCTTCCATGCGATACGCATCGTCGATCAAACGGTTATTCTCGATAAGCCTCGTCGAGTAGGGTAAATCGAGACGAGATGAACTCCAGTTCGATCCTTATCGAGATAAACAGCGACAGGAGGGCGGAGGATGGAGAGTGATAAGGGGGGTCGGTGGAAAACAAGGGAGAGAGAGAATTTTCGCTGGCGTCTACGCACACTCCCGGCTACATTGTACACGGAGTCCGCGGTCGGGCAGCAGAGTGTTGACACTCACGGGGAAAAAGATAAGATAGCAACTGTTTTAGCAGCCAATCGCCGCTTCTGTGCGTCGTCGAGGCTCTACGTCACTGTTGCTAACTGTGGTTGTGTACACAAATGCCCCCGCGCGCGCAGTGTTGAAGGAAGAATCGATGTGCTCCCTGCGCTCTGGCGAATTACGCGAGTGTGCCTCGGCGAGGACGAAGGAGAAAACGCGGCGGATTCGCGAGAGAGGCGTCACCTTTTCTCTTCGTAGAGCGACGATGCTCGAGGAATTTTATCAGCGGTGAGAAAAAAGTGACGATGCTACGTTGGAAAATTTATAGGAAGATAGCGGGAGGAGGAGAGGTACAAACGAACTCGGCCGAGAAATTGTGATGTTCCGCCGAGGAAACCACTCTCTTTTGATCGAGGAGAGATTAAATTCGGCCGTAATGTCGCAGGTGATCTTTAAATCTTCGCGAGCAGAAATATTTTTCGAGTTGTTGAACGACGAGATTGCACCGTGTTTTGGTTCCGCCTTTATCGGACGTCACTTTCTCTGAAACGTACCGCCTCGCATTATCGTTCGCGTTTACGTGCACACCGAGAGGAGAGCACGTGCATTAGCAGTGTACGCGCATAATAAAGGCATTCGCATTCGTGTGCTATACCGCACGCTATTACATCCTACATTAACTGCGAATAATCGTACGTTAGCGTGTTCCCGGTGTGCACTTGCTCATTGAAATTTCGCGTGCCGATATAGGTAACGGTAATATGCTGAATATTACACCTACCAATTAGCCGGGGACTGGTGGAAGTGAAAAAAGAAAGAAGAAAAAGGAAGAAACGTTTCTTTGCTCGGGGAGAGAAAAAAGAGAACGAAGGTAAAAAAGAAGATAGAAAAGAATTTTCTGCGGTTGCGCGAAAAGTATCGCGAGCCATATATATGTACATATGTAGGTATGTGCTGTTCCGTGGCTGATAAAACGCGCAGCTTTCACTATCAATCGCGGTTGTTGTACGTAACCAGAAACCGAAGTGTCGGTGGAAATAAGCAAATACCGCTAGGCCTCTTAACTTGGACTTGTAAACAAGATTACATTCAGCAGACTACGGATTTGCAAACAATTAGAGTGTAAAACGACATCTTCGACACGTTATTTCCCGCAACCTGTTGCTCCTGCCACATGTTCCAATACTGGAAATCAACGGGAACAATCGGATTTCACTGATCGCGTCTGAACCGAGTAACGTGGACGTAAGTAAAAGAAGAAGAAAAAACAGAAAGAGAAAAAAACGTTAATTCAGCGATAACGTAACGTTTGCTCAGGCGATGGAGTTATTTTTAAGACGGTAAGAAACAGTAGACGCGTAAATTGTATATATACCCCGTGTGATCAGTGATTTATCAGTTTTATTTCATTCGAGGCGTTTTACGACCGAAAGAAAAAAAAAGGAAAAAGGAAGACTCTGTAAGTGCGTAAAAATGCAGAATGGCGGAGAGGAGTGTGTGTGATAACCGCGTGGTCGCGATAACGGAGAAAAACTTTCGGCTTTCTAAAAATATCTTCGACAACCACGTTCCCGCTGCAAGAACGGTGACGAAATCCTCCTCTCTGTACCTCGTGTCGTCACCCGAACCCGCCTGCGATACAATTTATTTGACCCGGCTTGGTATTTTATTTGCGAACTAGATATCGTTGATGAAACGCGGCGCTCGATCTTTCCGAGTGCACGCGTTCTCTCGCTCGCTACGTCGCTCGACTAGTTTCCGCCATCTTCGCCATTTCCAAATTAAAGGAGAAATACTTTCCATTTTTACGACTTACGACGGAATCTTACGGTAATTTTATTTCCGATAACGTACTTTTACAATGCACGTTGCAATAAATTTCGATAAGATATTGATATTGTAAGGTTAAATATTTTTACGTTCGATTCGTTGAATCGTATGATCTGAAGGCAGTCGCAATGCCACCTACATGCGCAAACGGTTCGTATTTCGATAGGGTTAGTGTCATCTATTTAACGGAAAATGTCTTTTCCCGCCATAACCAAACAATCTTGTTAACTTACATTGCGTATCGAATGTGAGAACGAGATGATACAGACAGTTTGGAAATGTACGAATTAGACGGAATAGTATCTACAAGTCTGGATAGATACACGTGATGTGTAAATTGGCGTAAATAGTAAAATATAATCGAGATCGATTTACCTTAATACGCGTCGGTTGGAGGTTGTCGCCCAGCCTTGGCAGTTTGTCGACATCAGACGCTTGAACGTATTTCATTGACTCTCGTTCGATGGCTGCGAAATTCTGGAACCACGAACCACTCACAAGTGCACTCGCGATCACGTTAATTTGACGGTAATTTCCACGAGAGTAACGAAAATTGTTCCCGAACATTTCGAAGATTCCCATGCGCGGCCGATTCCGATCGGAGCGCCGCTCTTGTGGCTCCACCTTCACGGCACGCGGCAACACTATGCCCCCTCGGAATCATGTGTTCGCTCAGTATACTGCGGCCTCTGCTTGCGTACGGTTGTTTGTGAAGGGTACGAAACGATTGGCTATCCCGGTGGCGCGTTTCGTCGTCGTGAAACGAACCCGCGATTCATCGCCGATACGTGCGTCTCGCGTACAACTAATTTTCCGTGGTTGGTGTCCCACACGTGGTTTTACCCGTGCACTGTTATCGCATTTGGTCGTCGAAGGAAAGAAGAGGGAGGTCGAAAGAAGGAAGAAAAAACTTGGCGAATAGAAGTGCGTCGTCTTCGCGCCAGTAAAGGCGTCCTTCCGCGTTCTCCTCTACGACGTATACACGAGCCGCGGCCAGTAGTCGCGCGAGTGAGTGATTTTATTTGCAACGAACAGTGCCTGACGAGGACGGAAATAGCTGTTAAGTGAAGTTCCTCGACTTTTCGCGATCGGTCAACGAGAGAGCCGCAGGGATGACGAGGTAGCCCCCCATCCGAGGGATTGGATTACCATGCTGGACACGGCCACGAGTCGCAGGTAACAGAGAACCGTGTGCGCCCCGTGTAAAGACTCCCCACTCGCCTCCTCTTTCTTCTCTCCTCTTCTTTCGTTGCTTTCTTCTCCTCTCTTTCCTTCTCCTTCGCGTTCTTACCATCTTTCTCTGCTCTTCGTTCTTCCCTCTCTTTCTCTCTATTGCACCAAGCGTCGTCGATCGACACACACACATCGGTTCTTTCTATCTCTCTCTCTCTATCTATCTTTCTCTTACGAGAGAGAGAGAGAGAGAGTGAGAGAACCGGCGGGAATAGTGGTGCTGTACACACGAGCGAATAGGACGGTTTCTAGCAGGCATTTGGAAGAGTAAACGATTGGATGAGCGCCAGCTGCCCAGAGGAAATTCCTCTGACAAAAATTCCCAAGTGTCACTCTCGATGTATACGCGCGTGCACACCGATGATGGATCCCGATGGAAGATTATTCTATGCATTGGTGACTGAGATCTGTGTATACGGTCGACGGTGTTCTCGCCACGGCGGAAAGGTCGATTCGTCGGCGATAAGAAGGGCGCGTGTCAAATCTCTTACGTATGCGCATGAACCGACGCGTTGTACAGAGCACGGGAGAGATAGCGCGCGCGAATGCTGTGGATCCCGCCGCGGGTAAAGTGCATCGGCGGCGGTGCCGACTGCGAATTTTCGTCGTCGCGCGTGACACGCGCCTTGTGATGGAAATCGAAAATCTCTTTGTCTGCTCCCGTGCCCGCCATGTATTTCCGGAACAACACAACGTGTGTACATCGCATCGACACGTCTCTATTGCGTCTTACGCTCGATAAACGAAGTGGCGAATGGATTCCGTGACTACGTGAAACAGTGTAGCCACTTTTTTTCGTCTCGACGAAATTCGACGCGTATGTTTACAATGCGAATTTTACCAGTGATTAGTCGCGATGACGGTGAAAAAGTAACCGCGAGAGTGTTTGAAAACGCATATACAGCTCGATTGGAAGATGAGAAGGGTTCAAGTGTATTATTTGCTCTCGGATAATCGGCGTATTTTCGTCGCTTGGCTCTGATACACGAATCTCTGACGTAGGAGAAGTAAACGGACTGCTGCTCGCGACCACGTCTTGGATCCCGAGAAATTACTAGAGCGACAACGACTGATGTATCGCGGCAGGGTCCACCGTATTCTAACCATTAACAGTTTACTTAACGAGCAGATAAGAGGAGAACGTAGAGGAAAATTTCCATCGACGCTTTCCGCGTTCGGACTCGTCCTCTCTCTCTCTCGCTGGAATATCGCTTGCTTCGTCGGTTTGTTTCTTTTCGTTCGTTCCCGTCTCGACCTCAGGTGTCATTGGTCTGTTGACGTTTCTTGCATGGGCCAGGCCGAGTTCGAGGAACAATTAATTTTTCGCGGATTCACACGTGGCGCGACAGTGCGCGTTATTCCAACGACCTAGCTGAGTCATCCTCGGTATATACTTTCGTGTGTACGTCAGAAAATTTCGTCCGACTCTTCTTGCTATCTTTGTTTGCGTACGGTTTTAGACGACAATTGAACGAGAGTGAAGAGAAATGTAAACAGCGCATGTTACACGATGCGAAAATGTATCGAGAGCGTCTGGTAGCATATACGTATATGTATATATATATATATATATACGTACATATTTCTGTACCGATAAATTCTTGCACGTACACGTTTCTCAACACCTTTCTCCGTCAACAAGCAACGATAGTTTTTATCTGTAAATACTACTAGTAATTGATATCGTCCACTGTACGTGTCGTAATCCCGTATACTCGTAAATCTATCGCACACTTGTCTTTATCTATGACGACGTTAGGTTAAGAAATAGATCGATTACCGACGACGTCACTCTATCGATAAGTGCGTTACTCTGCTAAAGGTACACAACCTATCGATTTTTTTGCCTAGCTTGGAAAATCAGTTTCGCCTTCGGTAGATACGAAAACGAGAACGCGTCGTTTGTTGTTGGACGAGCGGTGGCGCATCGCGAGCGTTGTTAATTCGAGAAAATAAAATTCTCCTCTGGAGAGCTACGGGGAGCAAAGGTTGCCACGATAAATATTGTCCAGGAGCGAGATGCTCGGCGTTGTCGGCGGCCAAACAATAGCTTTTCATCGTGCCCCGTTCAAAAGCGACTCGGTGGAACGACCGTACCAGCGGAGACGTTTAATGAACTTAATTATTCCGAACGTCGATGCTTAACCCCTTTGTTGACCGCTATACCACTGTTAAGCTACAACATTGTTACGGCTCTCGAACAGGTGGCCCTGCTAGCTCTCGCAACCTCCCACTTATTCCTACACACACACACACGTATACGCACACAGAGATACACACGCTGGTGTGTTTCCACGTCGAATAAATTGGATTTTTCGAATAAAATCACGTTATGCACGCGCGAAAAGAAACCGGACCTTGAAAATGGTCAGTATTTTCCTCGCTCATGTCTCCGCGTCGTTACGCTTGAT